AGCCTGCCTCAGCCTCAGCCTCAGCCTGCCTCAGCATTCAAAATGTGCCCGGGAGTGGAATTCTGGGAACTCGAAGAACACGAAGTGGCCTACAGTTGGCTCCGGGCATTCAAAATCATGCCCAGGAATGGAATTCTGGGAATTCGAAGATCACGAAGTGGCCTACAGTTGGCTCGGGGCATTCAAAATGTGGCCCGGGAATGGAGTTCTGGCAACTCGAAGAGCACGAAGTGGTTGGCTCCGGGCATCCAAAGTGTGGCCCGGGAATGGAGTTCTGGGAAGTCGAAGAGCACGAAGTGGCGTGCAGTTGGCTCCGGGCATTCAGAATGTGGCCCGGGAATGGAGTTCTGGGAGGTCGAAAAGCACAAAGTGTGTGACTGTATGCGAAAAACGAGGTTCCGCGGATCCCCCCCGGAAATCCCCAACGGCCCCCCCAACGGCCCCCCAACGGCTCCCCAACGGCTGCCCAGACCCCCCTGTGGAGTAATGTGCTGCTCTCTTTTTACACCATTAGAAACCTATCAGTCTTCGATGTTAGGTAAAAACGTCGTCGAGGGGTATCAGGACGATGATTATGGTGATGGGAAGATGGCGGTGGCGATGGTGAGAGGAGGGGAATTATCATGAAGATGGGTACGATAACGATGGTGATGATGTTGATGATGATGATGATGATGCTGATGATGATGCTGATGATGATGCTGATGATGACGATGCTGATGTTGATGATTATGATGGTGGTGGTTGTGATGATGATGAGGATGAGGAGGAGGATGTGGATAAGGATAGTAATGCTTATGAAGAGGTGGAGGACGAGGAGGAGGAGGAGGAGGAAACGAGGATTAAGTATGATAAGGATGATGATGCTGCTGATGATGATGATGCTGCTGATGACGATGATGATGATACTGCTGACGATGATGATGCTGATGATGAGGGTGATCTTACGATGATGAGGATGAGGACTGGCTGCTGAGTGGGATTAATAAGATCCTGATGGTGGTGATGATGAAAGTTATGACTGTCATGATGATGATGTTGACGATAGTGGTGGCGTTGAGGATACTGATGACGATTGTGACGAGGCTGGGGATGTGCAATACGAGGGTGACGATGCTGATGATGCTGTTGATGACGATGATGATGAAGGGGGAGGAGGAACCGAAGGAGGAGGATGATCATGCTGATGATGACGATTATGATGATGTTGCTGATGCTGCTGAGGATGGTGGTGACGATGGTGATGATACAGATGATGATACAGATGATGATGGTGATGATGCTGATGATGATGATGACGACGATGATGATGATGATGATGCTGATGATGATGAAGATGATGATGATGCTGACGATGCTGCTGGTGATCATGCTGGCCATGCGGATTATTATGCTGCTGATGATGAGGAGGGTGATACTGATGATGAGGATGACGACGACGGCGATGCTGATGATGCTGATGATGTTGTTGTTGATACCAATGGTGAGGGTGATGGTGATGGTGGCGATGAGCATGGTGATGCTGCTGATGCTGGTGCTGATGCTGATGCTGATTCGGATGTCGCTGCTGCTGCTGCTGCTGCTTCCGCTGCTGCTGCTGATGAGGATGTTGATGATTATGATGAAGATGATGATGATGCTGATGATGAGGATGATGATGATGCTGATGCTGATGATGATGATGATGATGATGATGATGATGGCGATGATGATGATGCTGATGTGAATTGCACTCCATACAATGTATGGTTTGAGGGTTCTGACAGAATTCTGTTGGATGCTTTTCCCTCCCGAGGCCCCTTGAGGCCCAGTGGCGGCACATAGCAAGCAGCAGGATGTTTACGGCACGTCTGACTGGCCGCACATAGCAAGCAGCAGGATGTTCACGGCACGTCTGACCATTGCCGTTTGAGCTCGCGAGGCCTCTCGACTGACCGAAAAGGTTACCATCGCCAACCCCCGCGTGCAGAGCATAGTGGAGGAAGGCGTTCGAAGAGAAGTTGGCAGGGAGTCGGACTTCGATTCGACGAGGGTCGAGGACCTCGAGTGCTTCGACGAGTTCACATATTATGATGATGATGATGTTGATGATGATGATGATGATGATGATGATGATGATGATGATGATGATGATGATGATGATGATGATGATGATGATGATGATGATGCTGGTGATGATGATGATGTTGCTGCTGCTGCTGCTGATGATGATGATGATGACGATGACGATGGCGATGCGGCGAGGCAGTTTCAATACAGCCGTCACACGTGCCATCTTCCGTCTATTCTTCTCGAGGATTTCCCAGAAGCCCATTTGGGCGGTTTCTGGGCCGTGTGGGGCTTTCGTAACGCAGTTGTGGGGGGCTTTCGAGCTTTTTCGGGCCAGCCCTCTTGGGGCCCTCTTGCACTGGTTTGAGGCTCTCTGGGGCCCGCTTGGGCCCTCTTGACTGTCTGAGTTGGGGGGTCTCTTGCGGTCGTCGATGGGCCAAATTTGTGCCGTCGATGGGCTCTCCACGGCCGCCCTGCTCCATCTAAGGGCTTTCTTGGGCTGCCTTGAGGCCGTCTTGGAGGATTGTTGGGCAATTTGGGGGCCGTCTTGGGGCCATAGTAGTGGACACCTTTAGGGCCGTCTGGAGCAGAAGGGAGCCCGAGCAGGTGAAGACGCCGAAGACTTTCGCATTCGCTTCTTCGGGCCTTACTGGGGGTTCTCTTGTGGCTCTCTTGGGATTCTTGGGGGGCGTCGTGGGCCGTTTTGAGGCCACCCTGGGCCGATTTGGAGCCATCTCGGGCCGTTTCGGAGGCGTCGTTGGCCATCTTGGCGGCCTTGGTTGCCTGTCTTGGTCGTCTTGTGAGCTCGGGGGGGGGAGGAGGGAAGAGAAGAACCAATGCAGTGAGAAGCGAAGAGCTGCCCCTCCTGCAGGCCCGGGTGCAGTTGGCATAGAAAGGATTGGTATTTCCCCGTATGTTCTAACGCCATGTTGGCATTGGCGTTTGGACACCGCGGGAATATTGTTTGGCTTGCGCCGCACCGTCAACCCCTGGGGGGAGAGTCGCTGCAGCGGTTTCTGGGTGCTGCGTGACTTAAGCGGCCTCGGAGGCCCTTCAGATCGCTCCAAGACAGCCCACGAGGCCCCGAACCCGAAGATGGCCCAATACGGCCCAGGAGGCTCTCTAGACGACCCAAATGTGCCCCAAGAGCGCCCCAAAAGGGTGCCCAGAGGGGGGCCGCGAACCGATATTTCGAGGTCTCTGGCTCTAGAGGCCCCCAGTAGGCCCCTGGAGGCCACCAAAAGGCTCCCCCGAAACCCCGTGAGGCCCCCAAGAGGCCCCCAGGAAACCCCAGAGGCCCCAATGGCCTCCCAGGGAACGCAAAAGATGCCCCCCAACCCTCCCCAACACATCATGTTCCCAGAAAGCTTTCTTGGGACATGGTTCATCATGGGCCCAAGAGTCTCCGGAGGCTCCGAAGTAGCATCGCGCTACCTGAAGTCGTTTGAGAAGCTGATTGGGAGCATGACTGATCGCGTTCTCGCGGCCCTCCGCGGATCGGTTCGCACAAAGTTGCCCCGAGTGCCCTCTTGAACCAGCGACGACGAAGACGACGAAACGACGAAGACGAAGACGACGACGGCGACGACGGCGCGCGACGACGACGACGGCACGCCCCAACAGGCTCCCCTAAGACGCCCCCCAAACCCATGCTCCCAGAAGGCTTTTTGGGAACCCGATTCATCAGGCCTCCGCCCCCTTACGCAGCCATTTTCCCCGGAAGCCTTGCATAATGCGGATTGACACGCATGGATTTCTCACTGCCGATAATGCGTTTAGCATTGTGGGCACTTAACTTCTCGCTCAAACCATCGGTGGTTCACTTACTTCAGTGGAGCAGTGAACTCGTCAAGGCCTGGGGCCTGCTAGAACCTGAGCGCGCGCGAAGCGCGCGATGGTTCTATTATCTATAAGGAGAAGGAATGGAGGAGGAGGAGCAGGAGGATGAAGGGGAGGAGGAGGAGGAAGAAGAGGAGGAAGAGGAGGACCAGAGGAAGCCCAAGAGTCATCAACGATGTTGGAATTAACCCTCCCTCCAAGCTCTCTCTTCATAGGCCCCTACAAGGTTCATTTCCATTGAGGGAACTGCCGCGTTGGAAACCAACAGTTAGAGTATCCTGAAGCGTGCCAAAACAGTGTTTTCGGGATTTCAAACGCCAAGTGTCAACCTGATCGCTGCGTCTTGACGATCCAGAATCGTGCCAGAACGCCATTTAGGGACTTCAACACAGCAAATCAACATGACTGCTGCGCCCGCATAATCCTGCATCCTTCCAAAACACCATTTCTTGTACGTTGATCAAGGCGATGAATGACACTCCTGCAATATTGAAAACGAATGTGCGCGGCGCTAAGGCGAAAACCACATTTTGAAAACGACCCGCCCTCAAACCGTGAAACACTTGCAAATATTTAAGACGAATGTGCGCGGCGCTAAGGCGAGAACCACATTTTGAAAACGACCCGCCCTGAATCCGTGAAACTCTTGCAAATGTTTAAGACGAGTGTGCGCGGCGCTGAGGCGAGAGGCACATTTTGAAAACGACCCGTCCTCAATCCGTGAAGCTCTTGCATATGTTTGAAAACGAATGTGCGCGGCGCTGAGGAGAGAACCATATTTTGAAAACGACCCGGCCGCCATCTGTCAAGCTGTTGTCATTTTTAAAGCTTCAGAGTCATAAGTGGTGAGGAAGTCTCAGGCGAAACGCCGGGCCCGCCCTAAAGACTGGCTTCGGGGTGCGACAGGGAGAAGTTATCTATAAGTAGAAGGAATGGAGGAGGAGGAGGAGGAGGAGAAGGAGGAGGAAGAGGAGGAGGAGGAGGGGGAGGATGAGGAGGAGAAGGAGGAGGAGGAGGATGATGACGAGGAGGAGGAGGAGGAAGAGGCTGGCCTTAAAAAACAAGGCTGGGACAACTTCTTGGCAACTTTCCTGCCTTCCAAGAAGTCCTATATGGAGCCTCGGAGCCACCACCCGCCTTCTCAGGAGGCAGCCCCCCCCGCTCAGCCCCCCTCGCGCATGCTGCCAAGCTCCCCCTCCTCCTCCTCCCCTCCTCCTCCTCCTCCTCGTCCTCGTCCTTCTCGTCCTCCTCCTCCTCCTCCTCCTCCTCCTCTTCCTTCTCCTTTCCCTCCCTCCTTCCTGCCCTTCTTGCTCCTCCTACCTCCTTCCTCCTTCCTCCCCCCTCAGTCGCTGTGACAGCTCGAGGTGCTCGGGTGCAGGCCCCAGGGACCTGCGGTGCTTTCGCTGTCGCGCGACCAGGGGCGTCGCCAGCAGCAGCGACCCCGACCTGCCAGATGGTTGTGCGAGTTCTTCTTGGGTCTGCCGCTGAGGTGGCCCCGAGGCCATGGGCAGACGCCATGTGCCGCCTGGGCTATGTGGCCAGGCGACGTCTGCTGGCCAAGGGCGCCGACGACGCCCTCCTGGCGCTCCAGCTGCGAACGGTACGCACGCTGCTGCCGAGTGCGTGGACCTGCTGAAGAAAGTGCGGCCTCGGCCTGCCGCCGGGCGACCTGCCTCGGCGTCGAAGCGCAGCAGGGGCCCACCAGCGCGCGTCAGGGAAGCGCTGGGCCTGCGCCAGCCTGCGAGGAGAGCTGCGCTGAGATTCAGGAGCGCGACGAATTGGACATGTTTTGGTTGCATGGCCTTCGCGAGGCGCAAGTGCCCGCGGTCATGGTGATTGACGACGGGGGGCAGGGCGCTTGGCCTTCCGGCGCGAGGAACGAGGGGCCATTGGCTCGTCGACGCCGGCAGCAGCCGCGGTCAGCAGGACGCTGGGCAGGACGTGTCGCCACCGCCTCAGGGAGGCGATCGTTGCAGCGGAGCGCGGCACCAGGTTGGCGCCCGCGCCGAGCCGCCAGGACCGCGGTTCAAGAGTACGTCGAGTATGCCGAGGGGTCCGCGGAGGAGCTGCGGAGGAGCAGGCGGTAAAAACACTCGCGGCAGCCGTTCGTGCAACAGGGTCTGCGCCTGCGCCGCCGCCAGTCGAGGCTCCGGGCCCGAGCTCCGACCCCGGGCCCCGTTTGCGCCCCAGGTCCAACTCCAGCCCCGTGTCCGTGAGCGGCACGGGCAGCGAGAGCAACGGCGAGCAGGATGGCGTCAACGACTCGACGGGCAAGCTGTCCGGCGTGTCGCCCACGATCGACTGGCGCGGCATACCCGACCGCGAGTTGGATCGTGGTCGTCAGCCATTCAGGCATGGACTCCCAGTTCCGTGTTTTGCCGCGTGCAGGGCCCTGGGCCGCGTGCTGGCCGCGCAGAGGCCACCGCGGCCACCCGCAACCCATCGCTGCACATCGCCGCTGTCTCGACTGGCACGCTGGGCCTGACCGTGAGTTGGATCATCATTGTCATCAGCTTCCTGGGCATGGACTCCCAGTTTCCGGCCCCTGGCAGAGTGTAGGGTCAGGGGGCCGCCTCCAGGCTGCGCCGAGGCCGCCGCGGCCGCCCGTTGCGCATCGCAGCGCATCGCCGCTGCCATCGCTCCCGAAGGCGGGCTCGCAGCTGCCCAGGTGCGTTTTGCTGCGGCGTTGCGCCGTGCAGCAGCGGAGGCGAGAGGCTAGCGCCGGGCGAGTGGGCTGGATCCAGTTTGCAGGGCGCGGGGAGGGGCCCAGCGCCCATCCCACCGAGCGCTCGACTGCACGTTCCGCATCGTCGATGGCGCTGGCGACCATGAGCGCTAGGTGCCGCCATCATGCCTTTGTGCAGTCCACTCTTCTGTTTGCCGTGTGCCACCTCGGATACGCGGCACTGCTTCGCGCGGTCTCTTTCCTTTTCCAGTTCTTTTGGCAGAATGGTGCGCGTTATGTATGTATTCATTTGCGTGATTGGAGGCGCCTTGCTCCCCAGGCGCGCAGGCGTGTCCTCGCTTTGCAAGTGCCCCTTGCGGGAGCAGCGCGCTGTTCGTTGCGCAGAACTGTCCGTTTCATTTGCGTGCTTGGAGGCGTCTCGGCCTCAGGCATGCCGGCGTGTGCTCGCTTCGCTGGCGCGCCCTGCGGGCCCGTGGTTGGGCGATGCCTTTCGCTCGCGCCCTGGCCCGCGCCAGACGGATTGCTGTGTGCGCCGTCTGTCGGGGGCCACGGCGGGAGTGTGGCGGGGGCGACCAATCATTTCCTGGCGCGCGCCTGCAATCGCGCCGTCCTCAGGCGCACGCGGCGGCCCCGGCCCAAAGGGGGCCAGGCTGTCCATATTGCCTCGGAGGCGGGCCCTGTCTAGCGTCTCTGACTGCCATGCTGGGCGAGGGGCCTGCGTGGCCGAGGCGCGCTGGCCCGCGAGCCTCGCGGGCAGGCGCGCCCTTCCACGCTGATGTCAAGAATCGTGATGAGTTTTTGCGTGCTTGTGACGTTCTCGACTTGTGATAGTTCGACGAAGGCCTCGGGCGAGCCAGCGGGGGCCAAAACCTTCAAGAGACCCCCCCGATGGCCTAGGCCAGCCTTCGGGCACCCCACCGGACCCCCGATGTCAATGTTGAGGCGGCTGCAGCCGCCGGCAAACAGATACGTATAGAACTGTGCGCCGCCTCTGCGTAAACATTGGAGTTGTGGGGCGTTCGGGGACGGATCATGCGCAGAAGTAATTTTACTCATCCGAGGCGAGCCAACGAGGGGCCAAACGGACCCCAAGAAACTTCAAGACTCCTGAGATGGATTGTGCCAGCCCCACGAGGCCCCCAAGAGGTTCCCGGAGGCGCCCCAGATGGCCCATGATGGTCTTAAGAGGGCCCAGGACGGCCTCAATATGGCACAGGACCGCCTCAAGGTTCCACAAAGGGGCCTCATGACGGCCCCACGAGAACCCAAAATGGTTCATCATGAGGCCCCAAAACGGTTTTAATACTTCCTCTAGACACGAAGACGGCCAAACAAGGCAACGACCATGCAGCTCCGGAGCAGCGCATCCAACCGCGAGGACGCGGCGGTTCTGCGCGAGGCATGGGCCGCTTGAGCCCGCGATGTGTAATTATAGTGTGGGGCCAATGGGCTGAGTTACCTCTCCCTTTGCTGCTGCCTGCTGGCCCGCCTCAATCCCTTGCCTCTTTGCTGCCGGAATGGGGAGGAGTAGGAGCAAGAGGAAGAGGAGGAAAAGGAGGATTGTCGCGTAGCGCTGCTGCCTTTGGGGGTCGGCATAACCCTGTATGTGTGTTGGGTGGGGCTCTTAGGCTGTTCCCTCCTTGCATGCCAGTGCTGGTGAAGGTTGGGAAGTCCCTCCAGGAAGAGGATACAGACGAGGAGGAGGAGAAGGCGGACGGGAACGGGAACAGAAGGGGGAGAGGTAAAGGACTTCAAGAGGAGCAGGAGGAAACGGACGAGGAGGAGAGGGGGACAGGGATGGGGACAGAGAGGAGTAGAGGGAAAAGGAGGGGAAGGGGAGGAGAGGGATGGGGGATGGGTGGGGGAGAGGGAGGATGAGGGGGAGCCAGAGGCTCCCTCTTCCCTCAATCCTCCGTCCACAGTGTCCACAGTGTAGTCGGAATAACAATTCTTTGTGGTTAATCCTGAGAACGGCATAGAAGAATCCCACCGTTGAGAGAGCGAGTTCTGCTCCCTCCTCATCCTTCGTATTCTCGGTTGAACCTCCTTCCTTCTCGCTTCAGCCTTTCTTCTCGCTCCCTCCCCCTTCCTCATCATCCCTCCTTTCTTCTCGCCATACCCCTCTCGCTTGATGGCTGAGTAGCGTTCTTGGGTGTACCTGAGGTTGAGGAATGCGTGCGGACGAGGCGAAGGTGCGCGAGGCTGGGGCGAAGTCGTACAACAAGTTCCCCTTCCCCGCTTCAGTCCCACGGTGCCTCGCCGTTGTCCCCAGGCTGTCCCGCGAAATGCATCAAAGGATGGGTGGTGAGACCAAAGGGACCCCAACCGGGAAACTACAGCAGTCTGTCTCATGCCCTTGGTGGGCGACACCTGTCGTTTTTCTCTAGCCCGGTCTGTTGCTCAGTCTGCACAGTGACATCGCACCAATCTCCTCGGGCCGTGCTCGCGCTATCTCGCACTCCGTCACTCCAGTCTTAGCACACGCAATATCGGCTAGAGCCAGGCTAACCGCCTGGATCCGCCATCCTGTTGGGAGCCTAGGCTGCCCCATCAGAACCATGCTTTTGGCGTGTCTCGTCGCAACTACCTCGTAGTTGCCTGCCGCCGCTGTCGGCCTACAGCCAGCCTGGCCACCTGGATCACCCCTTCCTGGCCACTCCAGACTTTGGGGTCTGAGGAGGAGGAGGAGGAGGATATTATCAGATCGACGTTGCGCGGCCCTGTATAAATTCTGGCGGGGGAGCAGTGGGGGGCATTGATCTGCTTTCAAGCCTGTATATTCCTTGACGCTTCGCCTACCCCCACACGCCCATCCAGAAACGATGCCCAGGTCAGTTGCCCTGACTGGCAGTAGAGGCGGAATATCAACTTATAAGGCTCCGTTGCCACTTTGAGCCAATTGGCGGCGGCTTTGAGTTATCTTGGAGGCGTGCTTGAACCATCTCGGGATATCATATGCCATCTTTGAGGCAATCTTGGGCTATTTCTTTGAGCCCTCTTGGAGCCATGTTGGGGCCCTCTTGAGGATCTCTTCCGGGCCTTGGCGACGATCTTAGGGCGACGAAGAAGGTGGGGGTTCTCAATTCAGGTGCGTCCGTCTGGATCCCCGCACCAACAAGCACTCATATTTTGGCCTTGTCGGGACGCTCCTCGGCGATCTCGAGGCCGTCTTGGAGCCTTCGTGGGCTCCTCCTGGGGCTCTCTGGGGCGTTCCTCGAGCCACCTGGAAGCTTCCATAGCTAGCCCGCTCGCAGCGAAACGGCGAGAAGGCAACCATGTTGGCTTCTGGGGGGCCTCTTTGAGAGGTTCAGTGGCCGCTTGAAGCCTTTTGTGGCGCTTGGACGCGCGCTGACACCTATTAGCCATTTCCTTGGACGCCGTCTTGGACGCCGTATTTGTCTTCTCCGAGGGCATTCTGGAGCCATCTTGAGCCATCTTGGGCGCTCTAACCTCCCCTCGCCCCCGTGTCCAGACCCAGGTCGGGTGAACCCCTCCAGCTAGCATGCGGGCATGACATCGGGATGCCCGAGCTCCAAGAGGGCTTCAGAGGTCGGAATACGGCCTCCCAGATGGTTGAAGATAGCGCAAGATCGCTCAAGACGGCCTCAGCATGGTCCAGGATGCCCCTCAAACCATTCCAAGACGAGTAGAAGTGGCTTCGGAGCCTCCCAAGAAGGCTCCCAAGAAGCCCATGTCCTTCAAAAACTGAGCAAAGCCATAGTTGATTGCCTTCTCGCCCGTTCGCTTCCGATCGGCCTCTGAGTCCTCAAGGTCGCACCAAGACTGGCCAGGAGAGTCCTCAAGCCAGTAGCCATTCCGTATCAAGCTTGGCTGCCATGCGACCCGTTCGGCGGTTGCTTCATTTTCATTTCGTATCCCGTATCTCATTTTCAATGAATGTTCGGCCAGTCATGGGGCCGTTGATATTCATCTGCCTCCTTGCCCCCCTTGCCTCAGGGCTGAACTTCGCCAACACTGAGGGCGAGGACCCCTGGCTCCGTGATGCGATCCAGGCGCGCGCCAGTTCGGCGCCTGGGATTCGTTCTCCTTTGTCCGATGTGGAGAACAGTGTCTCTCCGAAGTCTCATGCAGTGTTTCCCGCGGAGCTGGAACAGGCTGAGGCCTGGGCCAAGGCGCTACCGCTGGTGCCGCTGCACGTTCCGAAGACTGGAGGCACCGCATTCATCCTCAAGCTGGCCGCCGACAAGCGCGTGTGCAGCTTCGCGAGCACGACGGAGGCCGCCGAGTTCATAAGCACGACGGAAGGCCTTGGAGGCCATGGATGGGACAATCTGGTAGGCGAGACCGACGTCTCGATTCTCGACAGCTTTCGCAGCTCGCTGCGGCAATTCTGCCCAGGCGTGGACACTGGCGCGGCTCAGGCAGCTATGCATTTTGGGATCGGCTCTCAGTTCGATCGAATTAGGGGGCGGCTGATGACGATCGTGCGCAATCCGCAGGAGCGGCTCGTGTCGAACTACTGGTACCTCACGGAACTGGGCAAGATCCCGCAGGGGGTGTCGTTGCGCGACTTCGCACAGCGCTCCAGCGGGTGCTTCGTGCGCATGCTGACGCGAGATGAACCTAACGCGTGTTTGCATGCGAATGGGACATCTCCGACGCCTGCGGAGGTTCGGCTCGCTCATTCGCGCTTGCTCTCGGGGTTCTCGTTCATCGGTTTGCAAGAGCAGTGGGGCCTGTCGATGTGCCTGTTCGACAGGGCTTCGCTCTCTACCGCCAGACCGCTCTCTATCGGAATGGGGCTTTCAGGAGCCACGTTGGGATGCTTTGGCGCCGTCGTGAAGCAATGTCGGAACCTCGTGGGAGGGCGATTGGTAAGTGGCAACACATGTTCAAACTCAGAAGACATTGTGAAATTCTGTTTAGAATTTTTCTAACATCCCCCTTGTGTTGTGTAAAGGAGGCCTTCTTCAAACGGTTGGGGGGTGCTTGAGGCTACGCTGGACAAAACCGCGCGGCTGGGGCGGTCTGTGGGATCTTCGGCGTAAGTAGTCCACAAGTGACCGTGGCGCCTGGGACGCAAACGCTGGCCTTGCGTACGCATGGTGTAACTTACAAGGGGTCGTGGCCTCGAGGACGCGGACATGGCGTAATTCACAAGGGGTCGCGGCCTCGAGGACGCGACTATGGTTGCAGCCAAGAACAAAGGACGCGAATATTGCGTAGCCGCCCGTACGCTTCTCCGGAACAAGTTTCAATGACGAGTTTAAGAAAAAGCCTGGCGCAGGCGCTTTATTTAATTTGTATATATATATAATATTAAACAACAGAACTCGTCAACGCCGCGGCCCCACACTCTGGGGTGGGGGGCCCCACGGCCCTCCCCTGGGCCTCCACAAAGCAGCGCGCCCCCCGTCGGCGGGGCCCCGCCGCCCCCCCCCCTCCCTGGCCATAGGAAGAAGGAGAGAGAAGGAGAATGAAGAGAAGAAGAAAAATAAGAAGAATAATAAGAAGAAGCATCATACTAATAAGCGTACTAGTATCAATCATCTTAATCCAAGAAGACGATTCATAATATCAAGAAGACTAACAATTAAAAGAAGACGAGGATGAATAATATGATAACGAAGCATAGTACATGTACTAACAACAATAATAGTAAGACGAATAATGTTAATAAGACGACGAATAACAATGATAATAATACGGCTGCAGAAATACGATTATTCATACGAGTCGTATTATGAAGCGTAACCGGAAATAATACGATAGACGCGACGACGTTCGTCTGCTTCGCAGCAGCCAACACGTGCGCTATATCAAACGGATTCGCGTGAGCGCAACATTCTTTCTCCGGTGACAATGGATCGTGGCCTCGAGGACGTGAATCTGATGTAATGCATGTGGGATCGTGACATCGAAGGCGCGAATATTGTGTACTCTGTAAGGGATCACGGCCTCGAAGGCGCGTAGCGTATATGGTGTAATTTTCGATGTCGTCTCGACAGCGCGAACATGCCGTAGACTATTATGGATCGTAGCCTCGAGCACGCGGATATTGCGTGACTTAGGTGGGGTCGTGGCCTTGAAGACGCGAACCTGGCGTAAGTTACAAGTGATCGTAGTTTCGGGGTTGCGACTCGGGCGTAGCTTCTTTACGTGTCCCACAGCCCCCCCAGGAGTTCTGAGGACGTGATTTGGGCGTGGTAAAAGGTTGATTTGCCCCCCCCCCCCCCTCCTTGTCGCGCGGACAGTAACGATTTTCAGTAGGAATGATTTAGCATGGGAGACCTGAGTTTGGAACTGGAGCAGGGAGCAGCAACCCTACGCCCCGCAGCCTGATGGCCCCACAAGGGGGCTGGCGGATTCCAGAAGAAGTTCGGAGGTCGGTGCACCGAGGTCGACTTTGAGCGTTTCAGATTGACCCACAAGCAGGGGCACACCGCAGGGGAGAGATGGAACATTTCCGAGCTTGGTGGCTTTACGGACAAGTGGGATAATTTGTTGTACGTTTCCGCAAAGGTTATGTTCGAAGAGGATTTGCGGCGCCACAACGTCAATCCCGAATCATGCGTTGCGTGCTTCGCCCATAGGCTGCCGCCCTGAACCTCGCGTGAGGCTGCGATGCAGCGTTTGGCAGCGTATGCTGCCCCCAGCTGCAAGCCCGATCCCCTCCGAAGAGCGCCCTTTGATCCCCTTTATATCTGAAGGGTGTGCAAGGCTTGCTTGGTTTAAACGTTGGGGAAACATCGAATTTCGTCCTCCTTTCCTCCTGGGTTCGCGCGACTCGGCAGCTCATGCTGACCACGAAAGTCTGCGCTGGGCGGCTAAGCCGCTGGAAGCCCACTTTTCCCCGTTGTTCCTCCTCTTCCCTTTTACTCTCGACGCCTCGCGCATCCCCACCAGCCCATCCAGAAACGATCGCCAGGCGAGTTATCTTGATCATGGAAGCGTAGAAGCATGCAGTGGACCAGCCGTTTTGGAAGCGCGTCGGTGGCGCAGAAAGGGCGGGAGCATCTGTTGAATCACTTAGCAAATGTCCCCCCCAACCACGGCAGTTGAATTTTCGTCTTCCAGGGCTCTCTTGGAGTTATCTTGGAACCCTCTCCGCCAGAAATAATCCGTGGAGCACTGAGTGTCGCCCAGAAAAAATATCCCCGCAATTTGCCTTACGAGCTTTTGAGGAATCTCCTGGGGCCATCTTGGGGATAGGAGTTAGAGAAAGAAGAGTGTATTAGAACCCCCGTACATACTGGTCATTTGCGCTGCCGTCACCGCTACCATCTCGTGCTACAGTCCGTAGCCGTTTTTGGTTTCAAACAAGACTGCGTGCGGTCGTCCGCTCGCTGAGAGGAAGAGGCATTGGTATTGTATTACCATTACCACCAACAATTGCTATTACTGATGCCATTGGGGTCAGGCAATATTGAGTTGCGAGACCACACCCAGGGAGTCGCGTTACACTTTGATAGCATGAGAAGGTTCATTGATAACATGCACATGCGTGTGCATGCGTGTCTATATGTTTTGCGTGCACGCATATGAACATGAACACATGGGAGGTTGGGGGGTTAGATCGTAGTGGAACGGGGAGCCCCTCATCGGGAAATCGGAGTTCGGGTTCGTGTTCGTGTTGTGCGTGCGTGCGGGCGGGCGGGCGGGCGAGGCGAAGCTGCGCGGGCGTGTGCCAGCGGGGGGCAGGCTCTGGGGGGAGGTGTCCCGCCGGTCGTCGCTTGCCTTCACCTCGCTTGGCCTCGCTTGGCCTCGTTTGGCTTCGCTTGGCCTCGCTGTTTCTCGAGTTGTCCCGATGCTGTCCCGTCGCTATCCGGGGCTGTCCCGTCGCTGTCTTGTCGCTGTCCTGTCGCTGTCCCGTCGCTGTCCTGTCGGTGTCCCGTCGGTGTCCCGTCTGTGTCCCGTCTCTCCCCGGTGGGCCGGCGGTGCCAGGAGTTGTCCCGCCGTGGTGTCCTGTCGGTGTCCCGTCGATTCCGTCCGTGTCCCGTGGTGTTCCGTCGGTGTCCGTGGTGTCCCGTGGTGAGATCGATAGTGAGATCGATCGTGAGATTGATAGTGATATCGATAATGAGATCGATTGTGGGATCGATTGTGGGATCGATAGCGAGATCGTTAGTGACATCGACAGTGATATTGATAGTGAGATCGAGTGTGAGATCGATAGCGACATCGATCGATCGATAGATAGATAGGGAGTGGCATCGATTGTGAGATTAACAGTGGTGTCCCTTGGTGCCCCGCGGTGTCGAGAGAGAGATCGGTAAAGATCGAGTGAGATCGATAGTGAGATCGATAGAGTGGGATCGATAGTCAGATGGAGACTGAGATCGAGAGTGAGGTCGATAGTTGGATCCATCGACAGTTGGTTTGACCGTGAGGTCGACAATGAGATCGATCGATGGTGAGGTCGATCGAGTGGGGTTGATAGTAGTGTCACATGGCGACGCAGCATCGTCACCACCCGTCGTCGCCAATTCGAGGGCGCATCACCAGCGTCGCCATCATCGCAGCCATCGCGTTGTCGTCAGTTGGTTCTTCTTTCCCCCCACCACTCTCTTTATCACCCGAAAAGGTGGTCGTATATTTAATATACCCAGGAACCCGTGGCCCAGAGCTCGGGCCCGCACGCCCTCCCGAATTCCCCCCCCCCCTTGTACCGTGAGGGTTGTATCTCCGCCCCCTGGAACAAGGCTCGCGCCAAGGTTTTCGGAGATACATCAAAGGTTCGTCTCACTGTTGTGTTGTGTTCCTTCCCTCGTTCTCTCTCTCTCTCTCTCTCTCCCTCCCTCTCCCCTCCCTCCAACATCTGCCGCAAGAGGAATTCTTATGCAACCCGCAACACGAGGATTCTGTTGGTGGCGGACGCACAAGACGGCCGAGAGCTCAGGGGGAGGGAAACGAAACAAGACCAAAGCATAACATCCAACATATATATATATATATATATACATATGTATATGTATGTATGTATATATATATATATCAATTATATATCTATACATACGTTTTTCGGGGCTGGCGGCCCTGTGGATCCTCGCTTGAACACTCGGGGGGGGCCAACCAGACAAGAAAGAAATATTCAAAATTCTCTCTGGTAATGGATTTTCAAATGGACTCCTTCTGTGGCAGATTTACAATTTGATTTCATGTATGTCAGAGCCAATCGAGAGTCCAGTGCCGCCAGCCGCAACAATCAACCAAAAAGTTCAACCAACACATAATCAGAACAAAACAAACATGGAACAATGAACAAGAAGAATACACAACGCCTGGGACTTTTTTTTGTTGGTTGTTTTTCGTGGCTGGCGGCCCTGTGGACTTTCGATTGACTCTGACACACATGAACTCAAGTTGTAAACATGCCACAAAAGGAAGCCATTGGAAAATCCATTACCAGAGATTCTTCTGATTAGGACCACTGGACCGCCAACCACACTAAATCACTGAGCAACTGAGACCATCTTCTACGTCCGCCGCACAAGGATCCTTTTGTGGCGGGTTACAAAAGCATCCCCTTTGTGACGGTTTTCATAGGAGTCTCCCGTCGTAGGCCCCGGACTCAGAGGAACTCAAGCGGTAGTGAGATCGCTGCAGCTCCGTTCGGTCCAAGATTTCCTGTGAAGTTCCTTACTCTTATGGGAAGATCTCAGGTCCTGAATACTCCCAACCGGCTGTCAATAGGAATGGACCAGAGCCCAGACCCAGATGATTCCAAGTTGGATCCAATAGAAATCACATCGGGATTGGACAAACCAGATGCAAAAACAAAGCGCCTGGGACTCTGAACGGTTCGTTTGTTTTTCGTGGCTGGTGGCCTTGTGGACTGTCGATTGAATATGACACACATGGAATCAATTTGTAGATCTACCACAAAAGGTCCATGTGGGTCCATTGGGCCTTCAACCATAATAAATCAGTGATCAACTGAGAGTCCCAGGTGTTCTCTTGGGCTGTCCCCCCCTGGTTCTTCGGCCATCTTGTGCGTCCGCCACGAAATGAAATCCCTTTGTGGCGGGTTTCAAACTGTGACGGTTTTCAAGTGGAGTCTCCCGTCGTAGGCCCCTGATTCAGAGGAAAAACAGTAGTAAGATCGTTGCAGCTCCGTTCGGTGCAGGATTTCATGTGCCGTTCCATACTCTATGGGAGGATCCCACATCCAGAGCATTCCTAGTTGGATGCCAATAGGAATGTGGCAGAGCCTAGGCCCAGATGATTTCAAGTGGACTCCAATAGAAGTCACATCGGGATGGTGCAAACCAGGCGCAGACAGCAAAACGCCTTGGACTCTGATTCCCCACTCAGAGCTTGCCTCTGTAGGGGTCCAAGCGGATTCATTCCCCAATCAGAGCTTGCCTCTGTAGGGGTCCTGGCCGATTCATGTGGTTAGTTGAAGCATGGCGCCGATTTCGACGGGACGCCCAGGTGCCTGGGTGCCCAGGTGCCTGGGTGTTCGGGTGTCTTATAGCCCAGTGGCCCGGTAGCCCTATAGCCCTATAGCCCTATCGCCTTACAACCGTATAGCCGTGTAACCCTCTAGCCCTATAGCCATATGTATTGCCCTATTGCGATATAGCCCTATAGCCTCAATAGCCCTTTAGCCCTATAGCCCTTTAACCTTCTGGCCCTATAGCCCTATAGCCCTACAACCCCATAGCCCTATAACCCTATAGCCCTATAGTCCTATAGGCTTAAAGCTCTATAGCCCTATAGCCTTATAGCACTGAAGCCCTATAGCCTCATAGCCCTATAGCCTCATAACTCTATAGCCTCAAAGTCTTATAGCCTTATAGCTATATAGCCCTATAGCCCCATCGCCCTATAGCCCCATAAACCCTATAGCCCTATAGCCCTGTAGCCCCATAACCCTACAGCCCTATAGCCCTAGAGCCCAATCGCCCTGTAGCCCTATCGCCCTATAGCCCTATAGATTTGTATATTTATAGCCTTGGAGCCCTATAGCCCTATAGCCCTATATGCCTACAGCCCTATAGCCCTATAGCCCATTAGCTCTCAAAAGATTCGGATTGGGGTTTTTCTCCGGTGTCACATGGTTAGGTGAGGTGTGGCGCCGATGTCGGCGGCACGCCCAGGTGCCCAGGTGCCCAGCCGGGTGCCCCGGTGCCTGGGTGCCCGGGTGCCCCGGTGCCCAGGTGCCCAGGCGCAGGGTAGCCCTACAGCCTTATAGCCCTATAGCATTGTAGTCCTAATAGCCCTAATAGCCCTATAGCCCTAATAGCCCTATAGCTCTATAGCCCTAATAGCCCTATAGCCCTATAGCTCAATAGCCCTGTAGCCCTATAGCCCTATAGCCCTATAACCTCATATCCTTGTAGCCTGATAGCCCTATAGCCATTTAGCCCCATAACCCTAAAGCCCTGTAGCCCTATAACCCTATATCCCCATAGCCTTATAGCCCTATAGCCCCATAGCCCTATAGCCCCATAGCCTTATGCCCTCAAAAGATTATGAATGGTTTTTCTCAGATACCATTTTTTTGTTGCTCTTTGTAGCTGGTGGCCTTGTGGACTGTCGATGGACTTCTACACACATGAAATGAATTTTTAACTTTGCCATACAAGGAATCCATTTGAAAA